ACAATATGTATGTTTGTTATATATACATATATGCATGCATTAAACATATATGTCCAAATGTTTATAAATCGTTGGTTTCCTTCTTTCTATTTATGTTGATCTACCTGGCTATATATATATATATATATATATATATATATATATATATATATATATATATATATATATATATATGATATATATATATATATATATATATATATATATATATATATATATATATATATATATATATGTGTGTGTGTGTGTGTGTGTGTGTGTGTGTGTGTGTGTGTGTATGTATATATATATATATATATATATATATATATATATATATATATATATATATATACATAAACTAAAGGCAGACTTACGCGAACGGATATGTGTATCTGAGGGCAATAGGGCCGCTTGACGGTGGGGCATCGTCCCGGGTTTCCTGTGACGTCATTCGTTCAAGACGTTTATTGCAACGAAACAATACATGATGATTTTGATGAGGATATGAAACTAATGGTAAGATGATATGATAATGATAACAATAGTAACACTTAAAAGAATGCCCACAAAGATGATATTAAGGGATCATAATAACAATGGTAATGATGATAGCAATAAATTAGTATTGATGGTGATAGTAATCATAAAAACAGTAATGATAAGAACAATAAAGATAATCATATCAAGGATGAAAGTGATGGAGATAATGCACTTTAAAGATTTAAGGATAGCATTCGTAATCGTAATCATAAAGCTAAACATAATAATTATCTCACTTGAATTTAAATTTAAGATATTCAAATATATATCACTGTATATACATATACATATATATATATATATATATATATATATATATATATATATATATATATATATATATATATATATATATATATATATATATATATATATATATATATATATATATGGTATACATGTGTACTCAACCACAACGATAGTCCACCGACAGAGCCAAGGGCCAACACTCACGGTCGCAGCATTCGTATTGGTTATTTTGGCCTTCAATCTGCAGTAGTCCTCACAGGGCTTCTCCGTTGTATGGACGCTCTTTGTCAGTGCCAGGGAGAGGCAGGCGGCCAAGATGAGGAGGCTGAGACGTTGCTGTAGGAAATGAAGTGAGAGAGAGAACGTGTGTATAGATATAAGTGCATATACATATATATATATATATATATATATATATATATATATATATATATATATATATATATATATATATGGGTGTATCGATAGATTGAAACGGTTTATGCAAATATATGGATTAGTAAATGTCGAAAAAAACATATCTTTTATATCTCATTGTATATTATTTTTTTTTTCTTTTGTTTTGCTTCCAATCAATTTCTCACCCACCATTATGGCACGAGTTGTCACCAAATATTTATAGCAAGTGGTTGGAACCCACAGACTGGTGATCTGAGTGCTGGAGGCCCTATAAATACCCCCAGAGAATGGTTTAGTTTCCAGTTTGTGTTTTTGGTCGACCAGTATCTTGTTATAATTTTTCACTGTCAGGGACCTGCACACGAACTGTTTTCTCTATATCTGTATCTGCTTGTATCGTGGTCGTATCTTTCTTCGCACATGTAAAGCATTTCTAAGCAAACTTTACATATCCTTTCTTAAACAATTCATGCTATTTCTGTGTGATATGATTCGTAATTTCTGGCAGTTAACCATACTCTTCTCTCTCTCTCTCTCTCTCTCTCTCTCTCTCTCTCTCTCTCTCTCTCTATATATATATATATATATATATATATATATATATATATATATATGTCTATATGCACACACACATATACATATATATGACATACATATACTCTTTTCTGGTTTGAAATATGAAAAGAAATGCTACAAACGTTACAAAACATGAAATCAAACTTTGTGATATATCTGAAATTTGCTAACAATTATTATGATTTTGAAATAATACTGAAATGTTAATGATAATGGGAAAAAGTAGGTAAATGAACTTCACTCGCCTTAGAATGCGGAGATAAAGTTTATCAAAATTAACAATAGTATTAAATAAAACTAATTATTAAAAAAAAACATGCATAGGCTTTTTAAAATGAAAAGCATGAAAACTGGAGAAAGAGGTCAAATCTCGTGATAACATAAGTGTTCCTAACAGTGAATGACGTTATTCAGGATGTTGCCTCTAACAATGGAAATGAGCGAGTGGGATATGTAAACAAATGGAAATAGGTGTGCGTTTATATATGTGTAAATACATATAGACAGGGAAGTATGTAAACACACGCACGCACACACACACATGTATGTGTGTGTACTTCTAAATGTGTATGTATATATATATATGTGTGTGTGTGTGTGTAGGTATACAATTTCATCACATCTACTTGCCTGTATTATCTTTGCAATTTAATATTTGACTGGTTTTATTCTTTTCCATAATAAATTGATCTAGATGTTTCGTTATTGCTTTATTACATCGATAGAAAACGGGAAAAAAGAAAACAAAAAACAAACAGAAATAAAGAAGGAAAAAAAACACCAAGGAAAAACAAACGCAAGCTCGCGATGACAAACAAAAGAAAACGGGAAGAAAGATAAGAGAAATGAAAGGGAAAAGAATGGAAGAAGATATGATATGATACAAAAAGAAATAGAAGGGAAAAATATCTATGGTCAGGGTAAGGCTAAACTCAGATTTATTTATCAAAATGTGTACAAAAGGCAGGTAAGAAGCGAGACAATAAAAAAAAAAAATTAGAAGCAAGAAAACAATATATGCACACACACACACACACACACACACACACACACACACACACACACACACACACACATATATATATATATATAATATATATATATATATATATTATATATAAAAAAGATATTTCCAGAGAGGAAAAGGCTAAACACGGAATTATCAAAGTATTTTAAAAAGCGAAGTAGGAAAACATCCCTTGAAAGCGCACCCTCGCGTCGCTTCGAGGAAAGCAGGAAAGCTCACGTGCGACCCACGTGACCTTCAGAAAAATGATGCACGACCACCTCACTTCACGGGGCTGAAGAGGCCGAAGTTATCTCCTTTCATTTCTGTTGTTAACAGGAGCGTGATTGTGTGTGCTTGTGTGTTTCATTTATATGTGCGTATATACACAAATATACACACACATACGATATACATTGTATATATCTATACATGTATTTAATGTATATATAGATATGTAAATGTATGCGTGTACATATGTGTATGTACATATACATATATACATATACGTACATGTATATGTATATATACATATATGTATACATATATACGTATACACACATATATGTATATAAATATATGCATATACCATGACCGTTGTTATCCTCGTTTTCTTGCCACTATAGATAGATGTATAGATAGATTGACAGACAAATAGATAAGTAAATAAATAGATATGTGGGAGCGTGTCTATGTCTTTTATGCATATGTAATTCAGTATGTATGCATGTATGAAGACGTTATACAATCAGCATGCCTGCGGTCAGCAACAGAACTTACGGCTCACCTTCATGCTGTTGCCAGTGGCTATGCTGGCAACTGCACGCACTTTGGAGGCCTATAAAAAGCCCGTTTCCTGCCTGCATCAACAGTTCATCCTGCAGCCTCCTGTAGACACGACACATTCTGATTCTACGCGATGGTTGGCTGCTCTCCAAGATGACTTTATCTTTATCCGTTATTTATTTTCTATTGTGTCGATCTGTATATCTATTATTATTATTATTATTTTACTGGATTCTCTAAAGCTTTATTAAGGTTAACCTGGATTGCTTTAATCATTAAAACATTATTATACCTTAGAAATATACGTAGAGATCAAGACCGCTAAGGCATTTATCAGTTTGCCTTCTCTTTGCGTATAAAATATATAAGTATACGTGACCCTAAAATGAATTTGCATTGCAGTTGCGCCTTCTTCGTTGTCCTTCTCGCTGCCTGCGTCGTGGCAGCCATGGCGAGCCACAAGTGCTCTCGTTACTGCCAGACTCGGCGAAGACTCACGTGTGCTGTGGTGAGTGACCCGTGACCTTTGACCTCTGTGTTGCATGGTTGAGTAAAGGCGCAGAATTATATAAGAAACGCATGTTATATTCATTTCAAGGAGTGAGACTGTAGGTTCAATTCTTTTTTTTTTCTATTCTTAGATAGATAGATACGCAATTATATTTAAGGAATCACGAGGTATATGAACGTGAATACAGTTATAAAGATACATCCCATTGAGCTACAACAAACATATTCATCTGTAAAATGTTTGCATGCCACACACACCTTAGTGACACTCTTCCCCTCACTTCTCCAACAGATAAGCCCCTGTGTTCTTCGATTTCCCCAAGTACGCCCTCGTGCTTCATTGACGCTCCAGTGATGAATACTTTGATTTAGATTTTCAACATTTAATATGATTATTTGTTCATTTGTTATTCCATGTTTATACAAAATTTTTCTCTGAATCATGATGTATGTAACTGATTTTACCATTGATATTCAAATGTTCTATGTTTCATGTAGAGTCAGCCAGTCTGTCCCGTAACCACAATGTTTGGATTGTAAAAACATACCGATATCATGTCAACCATACCCTTGTTCCTCTCCACGAAACGGTCATGTGACCTAATATCTCTGAAACTATGTTCATCCATATTCTTTCATGTTTTTCCATTGTATATTGTCTCAAAACGAACTTCGTTCATGGCAATTCCTGTGCCATCTACCTCAGACCGCTCGCCCTCGCGGGCTCGGCAGGACGCGCTCCTCCCTGGGCCTCTGCCTTGCCCTCTGTACCAGTTACCCAGAATAAAGACAAGAAAACTGCGACAAGTTTAACTTCAGACCAACATCTTCAGAGTACGTCAGTATCTTACTTACTTACTACTGCCTTACCGCTCAGCCACGACCTACCAAACAACAAGTAATAATAGTGGGGGGGTGGGACGCCTCCTTCCTCCCACTACACACATTACAAGTGGTGGCATCACGCTGGGATTGCCGCACCACGCGCCCCTCCGAAGATTGCCGCACCACGCGCCCTCCGAAGATTACCGCACCACGCGCCCTCGAAGATTACCGCACCAAAGCCGCACCACGCGCCCTCCGAAGATAACGCACCACACGAAGCCCCTCCGAAGACATCGTCCAAGTACTCTGAAGATCAACTTCACGAGAAGTTACAAGTCTCTACCAAGATTATCGACTCCTGCAAGCAAAGAAACTCTTATCGAACTCTGTCACTTCAAGACTTCCGACACCAAGCGCGAAGCCAGTCTTCCCTGCTGTCGCTACTCCCTCTGCGCACCTGCCGCAGTCCTCAACGGTTACTGCAGTCGCCTGATGCAGCAACATCAATCTACACTGCCCTGCCAGTACCTCAAGGTGAGTTTCTTTTATCCTCGCTGTTCTCATTTGTTTAGGAAATCCCCTGTGAAGTGAAGTGTCTGATTTCCTCTCGCTCTCGCGAACACCTGTGTTCCTCCCGCATAGAAAACGAGATCTCCCCTCACTGGCATCTGTCTCCCCTTAACTAGCATGTCTCCCCTCACTCCGAGCGCGCCTCACTCATGCCCTGTGGTTAGCATGATTACGATAATTTCTCTGTAGTTCTCTCTACCTATGAGTACTTATTTCGTTTCCCTGTTACTCTAAGTCGTGATGATTTCTGAATCTCCACGATGCTAAGTTCCAGTTCATTCATAATGAGCTATTTTTCCCAGGAAATTCTTCCTGCATTTTTGCATGTCTTCAGTAATTCTCTTAATAGGAAAATCCTTCCTGTAGCCTAGCATGCAACTGCCCTTCATTTTCGATGAAAGATCTTGCATTTTTGCACGCAACTACTCTCATTCCCCTGAAGAAATGTGTTCTATGATTTATCTACCCTCACTTTTACAAGTATATCTGTTGCCCTCTGATCTTGCACGTGAATTCTACGAACTATGACATGGAGAATCATTCCTTTATCTTGCATGGCTCTGCAAACTCGCAATTTCCACGAGATTTTGTCCTAAAATCTCGTTTGTTTGTTACTGCCTTCTATCTCTCAGGTAAATGTTGCAATTTACACCCTCTGTTCCCAATACTTGACACGTTGCTTCCAGTTATTTCCTAATCATTATGAGTTCGTGTTGATATTGTAACTCCCTGAGATACTGAGATATGGCATTATGTCTTCTGCCGCCAAGACATGGTACTGTTGTTCCCGTCTGTTGTCCTCAGAGCCAGACGCCCGTGCTGAAACGCCACTGCTGACCTTGACTCTCGGATCACCACGTCGTCCCCTCGCCGCCGTGCCCTGGCGCAACAAGTTTCGCTCGCCCGTTAACGAGCCCATCTCACGGACGTCCTCGCCGCCGTATCACCTGCCGACGCTCCCATGTTCTCTACTGCACGTCGCTGCAACTCCGGCCATGTCCGCCGCTTCGTCCGCTGGTGACTACCGCCGAACGTCCTCACCGCCGCATCACCTGCCGACGCTCTCCTGTTCTCGCGTTGCTACTTCGGCCGTGTCCGCCGCCCCGACCCGTCCGCTGGTGATCGCCGCCCACGTTCCTCGTGCATCTCGCTACGCTCACTCACCACACCCGCTGCCGTGCTGGTGACCCTGGCAAGAACTGTCCCTCCTTGCCTGCCGATTCTCGTGACGCCGTCACCAATGTTGTTCCTCTCCCGAGATGACGAATCCTTCCGCCGACGTGATCCTCAAGACCTCGCTCTCAAGATTCTCCGCTCAACCTTCGACTCTTCGACGATTACTGGTCTCCCAGAATCTTCTAGACCCGGTGTGCGTGTCATTACGACTGACACGGCGCTTGACAAGTTAACTGTGTCTTCCAGTGATCCTGTGTGGAACGATTGACGAGCTCCGTGACTGATCATCACTGCCGCTCCCGTCAAGACCACCTGCACCCAGAACAGTGACCTGTGCAAACAAGCACCCTAGGCCGCCGACCTTAGAAATACCTGTACGACCGTTCCTCCTCAACTGCAAGATCGAGACTCCCTGTGTCTGTTACCTCCGTCACTTGTCACCTGTCATCTACCTGCATCGTCTACTCAAGAATCGAGGACGATTCTTTTCTAGTGGCCGAGCGATTTAGTGACCTGCTCCCCTCGTCGCTCACCCCTCGCATACCACGAAAGCCATGTGTTCTTATTTCACAAGTACTTCAACCTGCCCTGTGCCCGACATTGACGAAGTGACCGTAGAACACGCTAATCTGACCCTTATTACTCTCATACATTTCCATGTATTTATTCTGTTGTCTTCATGTATGAATATGTCATGTTTATACTCAAAATGTTTCTTATAAAATGCTTATTCTGAATCACGATGTATGTAACTGATTTTACCACTGATATTCAAATGTTCTATGTTTCATGTATAGTCAGCCAGTCTGTCCCATAACCACAATATTTGGATTGTAAAAACATACCGATATCATGTCAACCATACCCTTGTTCCTCTCCACGAAACGGTCATGTGACCTAATATCTCTAAATCTATGTTCATCCATATTCTTTCATGTTTTTCCATTGTATATTGTCTCAAAACGCACTTCGTTCATGGCAATTCCTGTTCCATCTAGCTCAGACCGCTCGCCCTCGCGGGCTCGGCAGGACGCGCTCCTCCCTGGGCCTCTGCCTTGCCCTCTGTACCAGTTACCCAGAATAAAGACAAGAAAACTGCGACAAGTTTAACTTCAGACCAACATCTTCAGAGTACGTCAGTATCTTACTTACTTACTACTGCCTTACCGCTCAGCCACGACCTACCAAACAACAAGTAATAATAGTGGGGGGTGGGACGCCTCCTTCCTCCCACTACATACATTACACACCTTCCCAGTGCCCCTCCACCCCCCCCCTCCCACACACACACTCTTCCTTTTCCTCATTCCTTCCAATTATTCTCCAACAGATCCCCCGCCTCCCCCCGCTGCCCCGACCCCGCTCCCTGCTACGACTTCTTCGACGGCAACTTCCCCGTAAGTATTTCCGGCTCCTCTTCGCTCCTCGTCCGCTCGGCTCGGAGATTTCGGACGCTCCAGCTGCCGGAGCCGGATGAAGGCAAGGATAAAAAATTATGAATTGAAGACAATGTTGTTTTTTTATACTATTATTTATTATTTCTTTTTCTTTTTGTTTTTTTTACTTTGATTTAGATTTTCAACATTTAATATGCTTTTCTTGTAAATTATTTGTTCATTTAAGGTCACGATCATAATTCAATAAGTATTATTAGCCTGATAATTTATTACCGTGGTGAAAACTAATACATGGTTAAGAAATGCGCATTGATAAATACCATCATTTCATGGTGATGATAGTTTCATTTAAAAAGTAAAATCGACCGTATTGAAAGCCGCGTAATATAACAGCAGCCCAATGGGATTCTCATTTAATGAACTGACGAAATAATGACATTTATTTACTGTTTCTAGATATGGATAGTTGGCCCAATATATTCTTTATGATATTGCAAATTTATGACACTTGATATTATTTTGCATGTAATGGAAAACGACTACCCATGGAAAAAGGTTTCTAGAATAATCGGAATGTGGTTGATTAGTTTTCAGCTAAGTTCCAGACTGGTATCTTCAGAAATACGTCATTCTGAAGATGCAAAGTTTCTCGACATCGCTACCACGATGACCAGTGTCCACCGGGCCAGAAATGCTGCACAGACGGCTGTTCCCAAAGGAAAATCTGTGTGCCCGTCTGAGTCATGTCCCAGCGAGTGCATGGCGCATGGCACGAACTCTGGACCGACTGTTGAAGAACTACGTGCATGACCATTTATCTCTTTCTTGCTTTTGTTTTTCATTCTTTTCTTTCTCATTTCCTCCTGTGGATGTCACGAAGAACTATCCTATGTTGGTTTAAATCTCATCTCTGAAATGCACAAGTGGCATTTGAGCAATAAACTTAGATTGGAATTTGGTCTAGTGTTTTGTTTTTCATGGAATTGCTTGTGTGCATCAAATATTGTGATACACTCATACACACGCACACCTGAGAGGACCATATGTACTAAGCTGTGGGATGACCCAGTTGCAACGTGGCCGGAAGTACAGGCAGAGTGCAGACAATCGCGTCTGGCAGGAACAGGCATCTTGGTTATGCTGAAGGGTCAGCAAACGTCTTGGGAAATTTATAGCAAGTTTGGTGTGAAATGTATTGAGAAAACGTGTATTGTGATAGTCAGAGAAGCGAGATGAAGCTGTACTATTTATGTAGTATTTATATACTCGAGGCCTTGTGCGAAAATGTGTTATGCTAAGAATAATGATAACGTGAGGCCTACACCAGTACAGGGGCCATTTTCTGACTGGGTGCGAACCTGAGCCCTTGTGTAGACCTTGTGGTCGCAAAGCCACCTCCCTCCCACTGAGTCCATGCCCCTCTGTCGCAACCGTCGTGACGGAGACTCGATCGCTGTGCCACAAGCTTCGAAATCCAAACATATACCATACATACATATATATGTGTGTGTGTTATTATATATGTATATGGATAGCGATGCACATACATATATGTAGATAGATAGACGCACAAATATATATGTGTATGTGTGATTATGTGTGTTTGTGTCTGTGTGTGTATATAAGCATATATACATACATATATATTACTTTGTTGATCAAGCTAATAAAATGGCATATTCATTTCACGATATCTATGAATATTTTATCATTAGCTAGTATTGTCTAGTGATTCTACTCTAGACGCAGAGTTCAAATAAGAAACCGTGATAGTGCTGTTCATGCCTTGTTAGCATACAATTAAAAAGAAAACTAATAATAAAAAAGGTTATGTAAAATAAATACCAATAGGAAATCTTAAGTTTAACTAAGTTCGAGCTGCCATCGTTTTCGGAAATACGCCATTTTGGCGAAGTAAAGTTTTCGACGCTGAATGCGCATCTTTCCTTTCCTGAAATTCTTCATCCTCGGCCGGACTTTTTTT